CTTGGCTAAATTTTCTGTTCAATTTTATTAAAAAGGATTTTTACCTAAAAATACTTTTATTTAAATCCAAGTACTTGCCTTGGTTTCTGGGAAAACCCTAAATCCTGAGCAATCTGAGAGGAAGTAGAAACAGGAAATTTGTTCACACATAATAGACAAATAATCATGACATTATTAAAAAGGTATTTTATTATAAATACATTTGAAATGTAGCAGGAAAATACATCTTGTGTTATCATTAAACTTTAAAAACAAAACAAAAAAGACTGCACCAAGACAATGATTACACTGTAGGTACTGTAAGCCCCATATCTGAAAGCATCTCATGAGGAATCAAAGTAGCTGAAATTAATCAATCAAAAAACTAAGCTTAAAAAAGCTCTACAGAGTAGCTTTAGGGTCAGGTCACTATTATGGAACATCAAAGTTGCTTTCACTTTTAAAAATAAATTCTTTTGGGTCTTGGAGCCTTTAAAATGAAGTACCAGTTAACCTCAGGGGTAAAACAAAATTATTTAGATGTTGTTTTGTTACAAGTAAAGCATGATTAGATACCTTCAAAACTAGTAAATGTTTTCCTTTTAGGAGACAGGAACTTACCACTTTTGCTTTCATACAATCACTCACAAAGCTATATTGTTCCTTTTCTACACACAACCCAATAAACCTGCTATGTAAAAAAGTAGCATGGATTGGGCTAAACAATTCTGGATAAGAATGATATTTTTGCATGGCATTGGTTTTTTAAGTTGCCATGTTTGATAACATAGTGGCTTGGGGATCAGAAGAATAATGAACACCTTATTATACAATCTACTACCTTCATAATTTTGACAAGAGGTATTTCAAGCACCCTATTTGCCTAGGATACTATAAATACTTAGGGATAATAGGTCTCCAAAAAACCAAGTCAGACGCTCAACACTAAAAGAAAATACAGTACAACTTCATAATCTGGATTTATTAGAAGCAAGTTGAGTATTGGACTTCACTTGCATATTTTCAAATCCAGCTAATCTAGGGAGACCCTTGCCATACACAGGAAAGAGGCTCTAAGGGTCAGACATACTGGAGAACACCTACAGCACAGATAAAATAATTTAACAATCATTCCATTTCCAATTTCCTATAAAAGTTCCTCATGCAAGACATTTTGTACAGCAAAGCAGTACAGATAAACTGTAAATCCACATTGGTGGGCCAAGATAAACAAAGCATTAAACATGTAAGAATTTCACACTGAAGATTACTAATCAGCTTGAGTGAGAAATCTTGCCCTTAAAGTTCTACATTGCTCACTTGTTTCCCTTTCCATAAGCCTTTTACCTTAAAACAAACAATCTTCTTAGTGCTTCAGCAACTCTGAAGTCAAACTAAAAACTTGAAGATGCACCTAACACCATCAAAATTTCACTGCAGGGTGAATGTTAGTAAAAACAACAACAAAATCTTAAAACAGGTAAGGCACCTCATTTGATTACATTACAGTTTCCCTCTCATCACACCTTAACTTATCCATGGTGTGTGGATGGCATGCTCCCCAAATTTGTGTATGTATGAAAACATTATTTAGTAATCAAAGTCAATACTAAACTATCTGCCACATTTTGTCGATTTTATGGATGACCCACATCTAGGATCACCTACCCCAATACTTGTTTGTGTGTGTCCAGGGAGTGCAAAATATTTTAATATTAGCCTGAGAAAAACATAAAAACTAAACTCTAAAATGTAATTTATCTAATTATCTGCTATTTGGGATAATCCTTTTGTATAGTGCCAAGTATATTTAGGAACTTAAAATGCTTTTCTGCTGATGCTTCTCCTCTATTACAAGATAAATCAGGATCTAATTGTATTTCAGCACCAGGCAAGAATATCTATACTGCACCTCTCCTTTTCCCTCCCCTGCCCCAGAAAAATGCACTGATAATAGTGTGCAATAAACCAGAGTCACCCTGAAATTCTAAGAGCTTACAAACTATTGTCTCTCTGAGAGCCAAGTGTACAGAGTGGCCCCACACCAGAAAGTATAATCAATCAGTTTAAAGGTCTCTGTGTCAATATTCTGTTCATAGTATGAGAGTTACAGAAAATCTGTGGTCCAATACCTTTGTCTTTTCTGAAAATGCAATGTGGAAAAAAAGATATTCAATATTCTCTTTATGTTTCATAATTTTCTCTTAAAGATAGATAGACTTATAAACAAGGGCTTAGTTTTTACTAGATATTCTGTTAACTTTTTCATGTGGTCTTTATTCTTGATTTTTCAGAAACAAGGGTAATAGGATTATTTTAGTCTGCCTTTTTTAAAATTTCTGATAGGAATGAAGGCATAATTTATTTTAAAAATCAATACATCTTGAGACAAGAATTTAAACTGGTCGGTTTTTTTCCTGCTCCCATTAGGTATTTCTGGATTAGATTAGTTGGCCAATGAGGTCTCTTTCAACTCTGAAATTCTGTGATTCCTGCCCAGTCAAATGCATAATGAAGAAACAGAAGAGATAATGGATCATACTTTATATAGGAGGTAGAAACTCTCAAGGAGTATTCCAAATACTTAACAAAAAATGTCACTTGGATGAATGAATGAACTCATAGATTGGGACTTACTGACTTTATGCCAGTTTTTGTACCAAAACAAACCCTGTTCAGAAAACTGTAAATAAAGATGGGTGTGATGATCTAACAACTTTAACATACCTGAAACTATTGAAATATGCATAGTTTTAGTTATCATAATTCTTTCATATATGACAGTGTCAACACCAGTTTACTTTTCTAAGTTCAGTGTCATTTCTGACAAAGAAAATTCTGTCACCCCAGCATGAATCTGCCTCTTTAAATTTCACGTTCAGATTAGTGTCAAAATGTTTAAATGTCACAATGGGTAAAAAACAAACGTTCAATTTGGCATTCTGATTAAGAAATTATGTGTGTCATTTTTTGAATGTTTTAAATAAGAGATAATATTGGTAAATTTCACCGAATTGAATGAGAGCCTCAGAATTGCATATGAAGCAGGGATGAAGGCAGCAAATGGAAGTTTAGCAGCATGCAGTAGAATCACAGCAAATGTGCATCTAATCTTGATTAAAGAAGAAATGGGAGAATTCTACTAAAAAGAGCATTTTTCTAAGTTAGCATTACTCTTCCTCTTTTCTCTTTAATGAAGACATTTGCTATGTCACTAGAGGTGAATCTACTGGTGATTTTTTAAAATAAGAATTGTGGCTAGTTCATTTTCATTACTCTTGGTTTCTAGAGATGGTTCATATCTAGATCATATAAGATAACAGAAAGTGAAAAACTAGACTTTGAAATTTTTCTTTAAGGTGCAGGAGGGAAATATATAATAAGATGGTAGTAGGTACAGAAGTTTTCTGTATATTAAAGGTCAACTTAGGAAGGACCAAATGTCCAAAAGAAGAGAACAAAATGTGTTCTAAGGATTAAAAGAGGAAACTGATAAGTGTACTGGATACCATTTTAAGGCAGAAAATTACATTCTTTGATTCATTAAAAATTTTACATTTTGTCTATTTTTTTCTGAGAGTCTCCTTTCTATCAACTCCAATATGAAACAATGTTATGTAATGGGTGTCTATCCTTTAAAGTACTATTTAGTAAGTTGTTTACTTAACAGTAATAAAAATACAAGAATTTACCCTGAAATTTTCTGTCCACTCCCTGACAAGCCTCCACTATAGAATACAAAAGAAAATTCACATAAGCCTACAATTTTGCTCCTGAGATACATAGAAAGTATTAAAATAGGAAGTCAACTTGGCTATAATAATTCAATATTAAGGCTGAGATACTAACTATACCCAAAGCTAGGAAATTCCAATAACTTTCTCAGCAAATCTAGCAGGGAAATGTTCCCATAAATAGGTCTTTGAGTTTATGATGTAATTGATTATGTGTATACAATAGGATTTTTTATTATTTTATTAAATCTGCAATTCTTTGAGAAAAGCAGTTCATGCTTACATTGAACCTGAATGTGTTCTAGATACTCTGATGCAAAAGCTGCACAAAGCACTTTGTTATACAAACACAAAAAGGGATAGAATAAAGTATATCTGTGAGGAAAAAAAATAAGGTCAAATAAGTTTAAATAGTTATGAACTATTTTATTAATTACCTCTCCCCCCAAAGAAAGTCTTCCTGCAACAATCTGAAAAAGGAAATGAAAAAAGCAAAGCCTTAAGAGATATTGAAAAAATATATATGTATACATATACATATATACATATATGCAAGAGTGACTGAATGAACTTCATACTTGCAAAAATACATGTTTAGATTAAGAAAAAAATTCTACATGAAAATTTTATTTCAACAAAACTAATTGTAAAAAAAGATATTTGAATTTTAAATTTTCATGTAGAAGTAAAATTAAAAAGTAAAATGAATAAAAATTCTTCTTGGCAAGAAATATTAGAAACTTCAGAATGCTACAAAGAGCAGAAGTACAAAGACGAATGAACAATTTACCTCATTTGAGAAAAATCTGCCCTAGAAAGACAACGAACTTGGTAGCACTTGGTACTATTGAAGGGCTATTATCGAGGATATTCCTGCCCTTAATTTAAGTCTAAGAGCTAAAAGACTGAACCTGATGATATTTATATCTCCAGATTTTATTTTATTCACAGGTATTTGTACTACTTCTCAAACACCAGAGAATCAATATTTAGAGAATACAGCCACACATCACCTCCAAAACTGTCTGGTGCTTTTTGTTTTTTTGCTTCTTAAAAACATTTGTTCAAATTTTTTAGGAGCTACTTTGTACTCAATAACAATATACTAAAGAGTGTGGTATGAAAGTGGGCATTAAATAGTGATGATAAAGGTTAAAGAGTAAGCTTGTTAAAGGTTAAAATAAACTTTCAGCGCAGATCCCTGAAAAAAAAAAAAAGAACTAGATGAAAACAGCATCCTTGGCTATGAAAACAAACTGAAAATCAAGTATCTGCTACTGAAAAACATTTGCACTGCTGGAATATTGTATTAAATGTGCTTTAGATACATACACACATATGTGTATATATATGTATATACACACATATATACATACATACTGCAAAATTTCTGAAATAGCACTTTGAATGGATCTGTCACCTCAACTTTTACAATAGCTTCTTTATCACAAGCTTTGATTATCAGTATATTTGCATAAGTTGGTAGGACATGCATGTGGTCTCTTCCAGGGAACTAGTTAAACTAAGTCACAAATAAACAAAAATTAGCAACTGATTCTTTTTAATGTTCAAGTATGGTAAACAGAATAAAGAGATTACTCCAAGAGCTGAAAACCCTGAAGTTACAGTGCTATCTTAGTATTACGGAAATGCATTTGAAATCTAACGCATTGTAGTCTTGCACATTTTATAAGGACATCATCACAGGCTAGAAAATTCACATTCACAAATAACTGCAGACCAGGAACATAAAAATTCCACATTTTAAAATTCTTATTATATTTTGGAAATGCTCATCATATTTGAAAAGGGCTGTTTTTATTCTTTTACTTTTGGTTACATTATTGTTCATAAGAAATAAATTATATGGCTATGTCTGCTCAGTTTGGCTCATAAATGGAAAATGTGTTGTACCTCATTGGCCTGCTATTCCAAATGTGATTTATACCAATCCTTCAAAATTGTGCAGGCCACTGAGTATGAGTTGGTTACCCATTATTTGTAAGGTGAAACTGTACTCACTGCTCACTTTTTCGGTAGCTTACTGACTTTCAACCAAAGGAACTCTCCAATTCTAAAAATAGGCAGAGATCACATAGACTTTTAGTTAAACTCAAGTCCACTCAAATGAGAGAAATCAAAGGAGAGAAATTATTTCGACCCTTGCTTCTTCCCAATTCAACTTCATAAATGTGTTTCTATAACAAAGGATTGTCAATTCAAAAACAGTCCTTGGATAAGCAAATGATTTTTGAATAGTTTGCCAAGTGGGCTGAGCTGACTTGCAATACTTCCCATTCTCATCTTCTTAGACAAAAAACATTAAAATTTAGGGCATCACTTTTAAAGGGTGGACAGGGTACAAGACCACAATTTCTAAAGGTTAAACTTTTCTTAGGATTTTGTCCAAAGTTCATTTAAAATATTTTATAGGCTGTGAAATACTTAAGATATCGATTTCAATTTTATCTTTAAGGATAAATCCATGGAGTGTTTATGAGTAACTAATTCACATGAAAACACAAGGATTATTTTCTGTCATAATGAAGATTTAGCCAAATTTGGATACAACTTTGGCAAACATTATACCTCTTCTTCAATGATGTTCCTCAAACAAAATAGTTAGCAAATATTTGAATTTCTATGTATAATGTCAAATTTTAATGTAAACATCAAATAATGTACCAAAAATTTCACTGGAGAAGAAAAAAAAAAACCAAAGTGGCATAACTCTTTATACCACTGGGAAGGGGAAAGGGGGAAGCCAAATTACAAACATTTATACAAGCAGAGTGGGGGGAAAGACCCACGTATTTTTCTAAGCTCACACAGTTTTTCTTTTTAAAATAATTATTAATTCTACTAAGCACCAATACCTAAAAATTATTTTCAGCTTCATGATTCATTTTTAAAAATCTATCAAATTAACATTAAAAACAAGCCTGAAATAGTAGCTTGTCCAAAAATAAAAGAGGGCATTAAGTACACCAATGCTTTTTTGCATATTTAAAAAACAGTGGTATACTCAATGTGTCTGCAAAGAATACTTTTAACTCTATCCTACAGTGGATGGAGATTACAATACCACATCATACAGAATCTAAAACTATAAAAGTCTTAGAATGCAGCATCCTTTCACAAAAAAACTGATAAAACTGAAAGTATTTAGAAGATGCTGCCCCTTTATTTAAAAAAATTAAAATGAATTTAAGCAAAAATAACATACATTTGTACATCAACTGGCCATTTCTGGTACAGAAACCCAGCATTGTATACTAATGTTATTGAATAAATGCAAATGCTACTTACAATTTTTTTTTTCTTTTTAAATACAATTTAGATAATTTTTTTCTTTTTTTATAGTTGCACAATTAACCTTTTAGCTGCTAGCTTAATGCAACATATATGTAACATTACACAAATTTAAAAATATTTGTTGTTCTACATAAAAGCTGTCAAAATTCTGACCCACATTGAAAATGCAAAATAATGGGATAAAGTTAAAAAATTAGTTTCAAGTCTAGCAGCAAAAGCATTAAGTCAAGATATATTTACTAATATAAACAAAGGAATAGTTGCAACTACAGGTGAAGCCCAACTATATTAATCCTATTGACACAAACAAAAAAGGAAACAGATTCTCTCTTTTAAAAAACTGATTATTTAAAATAGGAATAAAAGCCATTGCTACCTGATGAACTACCTAAGCTAAGTTCCTGAAACAGAGACAAAGGGTCACTCTTCTTTTTCGTCTGTTCAGGTGGAGGTTTGGGCTTTGGAGGTGCCCGTAGAGCACTTGCGTAGGACATAGTAGGTTTGTTCCCCCCAGAATTTGGCTGGCTGTTGCTATTTGATTCCACAATCTGCTTGTTGGGCATGAGGGGTGGGAACTGGCCTAAATGCTGCAACATGCTGTAGTTGAAGGAATTGGACAGCTGAAGGTTTTCAGATTTCAGATGATCCTCAGAGGATTTCAAGGGCTTTGATGGAGCTAAAATCAAAGAAGAAACAAAAGCTGATTTAATGGTAGGTCCTCAAGTTATAAACCATCTGATTATCTCAAGTATGTGACAATTAATTTTCACGTATTCTTGTACTTCTGTAGATAGAGACTTTTATTACATAATGTAAGACGCTGATAAAGACGGAAAAAACATAAATAGTGTTGAAGGGGCTATGCAAAAAACAGGCACATTAATATACTGTTGTTAGAGCTGTGAACTGGTCCAACTATGGAATTATGCTTAAAAAAAAAAAGTGAACAAAACATCCATATCCTTAGACTCAGAGATACCACTGCTAGGAGTATACCTAAAGAGCTCAAAGAAAAAAAACATCAAAATATGAATAGCAGCACTTTTTGTGGTAGCAAAGAACTAAAAAAAAAAAAAAAAAAACAAACCTAGATGCCCATCGAGTAAGGACATTTATATAATTCATATGATACTGAATTACATGTAATATTAAATTATTGTAATAATGTAATTCTGTAATATTCCTGGGTCACAAGAAACAAAGAATATAAGGAATTCAGAAAAGCATAGGAAGACATATACTGGTGTAAAACCAGGAAAACAACATATATCTATATCTACTGGATTTCATGAAGTTCAGAAACTCTTCATTCTCCAAGCATTCTCTCATCTATTTTAAAACCCACACCTCCTCATCAGCATACCCTGTCCCTGGGGTCCCTTCCTCTCTCTGATCAAAGAGGGTGGCATCTGGACATTGGAGAGGACATTAACCTCATCATTTCCTACCCAGCTGCCCTCCTGGGTCTCATGATCTCCAGAAACTCATCATTCTGCAAGATGAAATCAACCCTGAAATTCACAACTCCTTAGATCACTTCCCACCCCCTCTGTGCCCCAGTATTCCTCCCCCCATCAGCTTTTTTTTATATGTTATCTTTCCCCATTAGATATCTTTGTGTCCCCAATGTTTAGAACAGTGTTTGGTACATAGTAGGCACTTAATAAATGTTTATTGACTATACACAATGACTACAACATAATGGAAAGGACAAAACAAAAATGACTGTCATAGAATTGTAATGACTAAGTGGACATAGGAAAACATGTTTCCCTTCCTTTACAAAGTTATGGATGATGAGTGTGAAATGTTGCATATAAATTCTGACATGGATAATGTGCTGGCTGGTTTTGCTAAGTTGCACTTTTTTTTTTTCCTATTAAAATCTTTGTCATAAGGACAGCTTGTTGGATAGGCAGTTTTATCTCTGATGGTGGAAAGGGTATATCTGGAAATAAAGGCATTCCTAGGGCCTGACACATGATAAAAGCTTAATAAGTATGTAATGAATTGAACGCCAAAAACCACTACTAAACCATTCCAAAATTTCTAACAATCCTGAGGCTGACTAGTCTATCTTCTTCCCCATCACATTACCAACACATGCCCTCTAATTCCAATGAAGTCACTTTCCTTATAATATGAGTTGCAGGTGTGTTCATTCCTTGATTCCCTTGCTCATGTCTCATGCTGCTATACTCACCTGGGATACCTACAGCTCCCTCCTCCACCTATCCAAATTCTTTAAGTTCCATTTTCTCCATAACATAATAGAGGCAGCATAGCTTAGTGGATAGGGCACTGAATTTGGAACCAGGAAAACCTAATTCTAAATTCAACTCCTTCTTCAGACACTTACTTGCTATGTGACCCTGGGAAAATCACTTAAACTCTCTGGGCCTCTGTTTTCTCATCTAGAAAATATGGGGGTTGGACTTCATGGCCTCTTTTGTGAGCCACATTACTAATGGATCTAGGGAGGCATGAATTAACTCCTCACATTTCCACAATATCATCCAGGATTCTTGTGAACAAAGAAGCTATGTTGCAGATGTGAGGTAGTTTGATTTAATTTTACTCCCATGTGGACTGATCTAAGAACTAGCTATGGGCCCTTCAGACAAGAAAGCTCTAGCGGGGGGCTCTTGAGCCCCTGAACAACATCACTGCTCATTGTTTTTAACTTCCTTGCTGATGGCTTTCACATGTTTTAATCTTTCTATGTATTGTTTTTTAACTGCCTTGGGAATTGCTTTCACCTGAATATATATGAATAGTTTGGTTTTTTTTTAATGGATTGTTTGTTTGACCCTCAGGCTCTGAATGATCCATTCTACCAGACACAGAAACAAGATGGCGACAGACTTTAAGGTCCCTTCCGCCTCCAAATGGTCCTATAATCCTATGATTTAGCCTGAAAGGGGCACTTAAAATCATCCAGTCCAACCTCATCATTTTATAATGGAGGAAATCAAGGCTCAGAGCCTGAAGTCACAGAGATAGCATGTAGGAGAACAGTGAATTTATATCCTCTGACTTTATATATACTTTTTTATATACTTTTATATACAGTATTCTTTCTAAATACCACAATATTTCTTGCCTGATTACTCCAACCCTTATTGCTCCCCACTCCACAGAATTCTTTGTTGGTGAGTCAGAAAGAGGTAGGAGAGTTATATTCTGTACCAACTAATTTATACCCTCTTATTACTCACTGCTCTTTCATAGATGTTAGTTTTCTCAACTAGACTGTCAGTTCTTTAAAGAGGAGGGAAAACCTACACTACTGAGCATGTTATGTGTTCAATATATACTTGAATGGCTGGTTGGGGAAATGGTTATCAATTAGCTCATTAAATATTTGTTATTCAGAATTCAAACTATTATTTTGAAAGAAGAGGATAGAATCACTCTTCTAATAAATACTGCTTGCTAACTTAATAATACTGTTTAATATTCAGATATTTAATATTCAGATATTCAAGTGGATCTGTGATCTCATCAATTCAGGTGTCTCTTCTAAATATGCAAATCACAATCTATTCATGCCTGCTCATCTTGTGCAATGAATGTTCATGTCTTCCTAAGAGTTCACCACCAAGAGTCCACCTAATATGCTCTAGAAAGACTTTAATTTAGAAAGGCCAACATCATCTATTGCATCCTGGGCTGTCAGCAGTAAAGAAGACTGCTGATTACTTGATTTGCCACTGGATTTTGATGACTATGGAAGAGTGAGGCTAAGGACTTTGCACAGCTCTGCCTCACTTAAATCCAATTCACACACAAATCAAGACATCACCCTCATGACGTCATTAGTCCTCATCAAGAACAAAGGACAAGGGCAAGCTAGGTGGCGCAGTGGATAGAGCTGGAGCCTTGGAGTCAGGAGGACCTATGTTCAAATCCGGCTTCAGACACTTGACACTTACTAGCTGTGTGACCCTGGGCAAGTCACTTAACCCCCACTGCCTAGCCAAAAAAAAAAAAAAGAAACTTGGGGGAAAAAAAGAGAACAAAGGATAAACAGAACAGAACAGGCCTTCCTCACTTTGTCCCAACATCAAGAAGGTACTAGTGAAGAATTTTGGTTGTATACTTGTTATCCCTCACTTTTGTCAAATGACTAGTCCTTCTTCTTCTCCTATAATAAAATTCTCTGAAGAAGTCTTTTACTCCTCTACTTCTTTGGAATTTCTTGTAGGTTTTATGTTGCAGCCTGCTCACAACTGTCATATGGTTTACATTGTCCAGTGCAGGGTACTCATTCTTAGTTTTTCAGAGACAGTAGTATTCCATGTTTCAATTTCTTTTGTTCATGAGCAAAATTTTTCAGTAAAAGAGCTTGGCAATTTCATGAAATCAATATAAACCACTATTCTCCTGCAGCCATCATCCTGGGAAGCAACCCTTATATAAGCCTGTAAGCTGCTCCTACAGGTGCCATAACCACATCTATAGAAGATGCAGAAAAGAAAGTTCTTGTCACCAAAGTCCTTGGCACTATCAAATGGTTAACCTTCAGAAACCAATGTTACTTTATCAGTGGAAATGACATTAAAGAACAGGCATTACCATCTGTTTTGCTGCTACCCTCTAAGGACCAAGGGACCTTTCCATCTGACTTGCAGGTAAACCCTTCCATCAATATTGTCTTTCCTCGTTAGAATGTGAGCTCCTTGAGGGCAGGGGCTGTCCTACTTTTCTATTTGCATCCCCAGTACTTAGTAAAGTGCTTTGCAAATATTAAACACTTAGTAAGTGCTTCATTCATTCATTCCTCTTTCTCTTCACCTCTGGGCTAAACTCTGTCCATCTGCACTGTCTGTCCTAGACATATTATTGGATTGGATGTTGAAATTTAGCTAATAGGCATTCTTCACCCACTTGGTCTTTCTTGTGTGGTTATGACAGGTACAAACTCTTTTAAGTGTTTACAGATCTCTCCTAGAAGGCTCTGCAAAATTCTTGAGGTTAATGCAATAAGCACAATGTTATATGCAAATGGAAGCATCTGTAGGACCTAGCTATCCACAAGGAACCCTTCCTTCACCTGGACTCTTCACTAGATCTCCTCTATCACAAAGGTAAATACTATGGATGAGAGCACTCACCTCCCTCTTTTTATGTCTCACTCAATACTGATTATCACTGAACATGATTATTTCTGTTCTTATATCTTCCAAGTAATCTTGAATAATTTGATGTATAGATGAGTAAAATTTGTTGTAAAAGAGCCTGCTCTACCAAATCAAATGTCTTTTCATAATCAACAAACAATAATCACAATGAGAAAAAAATTAAGAAAATAATAATCACAATGAGAATTTATATTCTTTCCATTTTGTTGTAAAATGGTAAAGATGCAGTCCACTACTGAATTTTAACTGTGAAAGCTTGTGGGTTCCTTACTAATACACTCATTGAGGATGTCTTTGACTTATGTATAAATAACTCTCACAAACACTTTGTATGGATGAGAGAGTTAAATTAGAAATTTGCATTGTTATGCCCTAGGGTCATCTTTTCAGAATTAATAAGGTCTGAGATTTTTTTCACACCTTTAGTAACTTCACCTGCTTCCAAGACCTTGTGTATTGAACCTTGATTGCCATCACAAAATTATCACCTGCAGCATGGATCTCTTCTACATATATTTGGTCGAATCCAATGCTCTTTTGATTTTTGTTCTTATTAGTACCATTTCTACCTCCTTTTTTAAGTACATTTGGGACTGTGACTAATGTTACAGCCCAAGAATGGTGGTGACTCCACCATCATTCATTAAAAAAACAAAAACAAAAAAGTGTTGTTAAAATGGGTTTTCCAAATCTTTACCATTTCTCTTCTGTTTGTAGTGCTCTTTCCATTTTTATTATTCAATGCTCAATGAATGGATTTGCTTAGTTGGCTATCTAGGCCAAGCTTATTTAAATTAGTTTTACCTCTGCTGCTTCTCTCTATTTTGAGATAATACTGCTTATATTGTCTCTCAATTCTCTTTTTAAAGAAAATGCTCATGATATAAAGGCATGAGGCTTCTGGGTAATCTAGAAGTCTTTTGGTCCCTTTCATTGCTTTTTCCTGACTCATGCTTTCCCACATATTTTCCTTCATACTCACCTTTTCCCTGAAGTCACTGAATACCAGAGTATAAGTTGATTTGATTTGAAGGGTCTTCTCAAATTCTTTGTAGAGTTTCTCTACTGTTTCATTTTCAGCAACTGGTATTGGTGCATAAACTGCAATTATTTTAAAAGGGGTCTTTTTTCCCAAATATTCATTAATAGTATTGTAATATACACTGAACAAATATCCCACAAAATGCTGGGTTCTGTTGCCTCTGAGCGTACGTAAAATAAAACTCACTCTGCCAATTCCTTTCTTTGCATTTTGCTTCAGCTTCATTATTTCTTCTGGTTATTGTTTATAGCAAGAAAGTCAAGATTGACATAATTTAGATTCTCCATCAATACTAAGGTCTACTGATTGTCTAAAAAATGTTTGATTCTTAGTAGTCTGTCTCTGCCACTTCTCCCACCATTCTGCTACATCACTGCTAAAGAAGAGGGCCACATAGGGAGGAAGGTTATTTTTTAAATGTTCTTACTTTCACAGGTTGCAACGACAAAAAAGAAAAATCATCACCAGGTGGCCAGACTATGGCCAATGAGTATGCCTGATATATTTTTAAATTTTAAAAAATTATTTAAATAACTTTAAAAATCTTTATATATTAGTCTTACCTATAGCTTTTTCACAAAAATCTAACTGTGGTTATGCTAAAATTTTGTTTAAAAAAAAAAAGGCCATCCTTTTTTAGAGGATTAATTTATCATAAAATCATTGTAAGAATTTAATGAATAAATATATTTAACAAACATAGTTGTTAAAAATAAGCATTTTTTATTTCTTTGATAAGTATCATTATTTGGTCATGTATCTATTTTTATCATAGTTTCAAAAGGGTTTAAAATAATACTCCAATACTATATTTCAGGAAAAAATGAATTACCATAAAACTTCATTAGTCATTTGCAATACTTAGCCCTGTGCTAACTGTAAACTAGGGGCTTGCTTAGCAAACTAATAATGTAACCAAAAATGTCCACTTACTTAAGAGAACTACCTTTAAGCACCTTTGAAGGATCTTAACACAAGCAGAAACCAATACTACTTAAGATGGTCCATCAGCACACTAACAGTTACCAAACATTCTCATCTATTAAATAAAGCAGAATCACCATTTTCTCTAAACTTAAATTGAATTATTTATTATACTTAAAAATAATAAGCTATCATTCTTTTAAAATGTTCTTTTCAGGATGGCTTTTGTCACCTTAGGTTAATCCCAAACTGGTGAGATTTGAGAGCGTATTAATTCTTTCTTCTCTTAAAACTTCCACCTGAACTTAGATGCGCAGGAAATATTTTCCAAATTATGAACTCTCACTATAGTGACAGAACAGAGGCAGAACTTCTGTTAGATAGTAGAATTTAACCTTAGCACTGGCACTATACATGTACAGATACTAGGATTAGGGCTCTCCATTCGTTTTCTCAGAATCTATTTCACTTGCCTACACAGCAACAATTAAGTTACCAAATATCTCCTGTACCCAGCACTCTCATTGGCAATTCAGAGGTTCAAAAGAAAAAGAAGATATGTGGACGTGAAACAAAACATATATGAAACAATTATGTCATACCATAGTCCCTGCCAGGTCAGTTCACTCCTCTTAGCCTGTTTCCTTATCTATAAAATGAAGGTGCTAGATTACATGGTTTCTAAGACCCTTCCCCTCTAAGATTCTATGGTTCTACAATTTAAAACAGTCATAGTTCAAATGGCTAAGTACGGAATCTTGAATTCAGGCTTCTCCTGCTTTCAAGTTGAGTGTACTTTCCATTATACCAACCGGCCTTTCATGTGTAAATGGCTCCATTCACCTTTAAAAGCTTAATTTTAGACTTTACAAGGCACAACTCCTCCAAGTAAGTTATTAATATTTTCATTCTATTGCATTCCTGTTCATTTATGTGTTCCTCTCAACAATGATTCCAATAGAAAACTATGCTTTAGGACATGACTAACTTTGAATTAATAATACATTTAATGAAGTATTTGTAACTAAGGAATTTTATGACTGTCTTCTGACAATGAAAATAAGAATTTTATCAGACAGGACAATGAAATGAAATGAAAGAAGTCTGGGTGCTTGCTTTCTTTTTTAACTTATCAAGTCAAATCAGAATCTTAAAGTTTCTGTCCAAAGGTAACTACAATACATATTGAGAAGAGAATAGTTAAAATGACAAAAAATTTTAAACAAATTTTAAGCCATCAAAACTCATCCAAAAACAATAACCTAAAACAATAGCGTACACGCGCGCACACACACACACACACACACATTTCACTTGCTTCTCCACATACACACAAAGCATTATATTTTAATGTGTACTGACTGAGTCGTTTCACATAACGATTCTGGAAAAACTGCCTACTGGAATAGTTAAGTATTCTGAGCAATCAATGAAATTGCCTTACTACTTCCAATGCAGTATAAATATATCATACATGTTCATAAAGAGGTCAGTGACAATGATAATATCTTATTTTCAGATAAACAAAACTAAATTTTTATACAAATGCTAAAACAATTCAGCATAGAAATTCACTTGAAAGATCACAGACTTTTTATAAGTGTCTCTATGTTATAAGTAATAAAACATCAGGGAGCTCAAACAAATCAATTACTTTCTTTTTTACAGTGAATATTTAAAAGAAAGAAAAAAGAACACTGATTTCAAAGCTCATGGAAAAATGCCAAATAATTTTTGGATTGCCATGTCCAGTTGTTGTTGTTGTTTGTCCTTCTCCTTGAAGAGGACCATGACCTCAGGGAGGTGATGCTATGACATGCAGGTGAACTGGATTTAAGTGAGGGAGGGCTGTGCAAAGTCACCAGCCTCACTCTCTCCTCTGGAGTCATCTGGGTTCAATGGCAAGATATAGAATAGAATGACTAGAGGTGGCCTGGATGCAGTGGGAGACTTTGGTCTTTTTAAGCAAAGATCTTTAACAGGTCTCAGTTTGACTTATGCAGTGATTTACAAATTATTGGAATATGGAAAACATCCATATGCCAGGTTTTTCTGTGTCCCAAACTTGCTACCTTGCTGTTATTGTTGCTTCAGCTGTGTCCAACTCTTTTTGGGTTTTCTTGGCAAAGATACTGGAGTGGTTCACCATTTCCTTCTTCAGCTCATTTTATAGGTAAGGAACTGAAGCAAATAGGTTAAATGGTATGCTTAGGGTCACACAGCTATTAAGTATCTGAGGTCAGATTTGAACACAGGAAGATGATTCCAGGACTGGCACTTGATCTGCTGCCCCACCTTTCTGCTATAGAACTATTATTCTATATAATAACAGAATCTATTATTTTCTTGTTAACTAATTTTTATCATTTATTTGTATTGTATTATGTTTTACTGAGTTCTCAAGGGCAGGTAATTTTCCCTTACTTCAAAATACTTGCCTGGGACTCAGCCACTTAATCCATTCGGTAATAGGACAGAAACCAACTGGTTTGGAATGTTTTGTCTTTATCCCATGCATATAAAGTATAAGCCTGACTTAAGCAGATGCTCCACTTCTCTAAAGCATAACTAACCAGACCAGATTCTGTCCAAAAACAAACACTGGAAGAGGAGATAAAAAGAGAGAGGATGAGGGAAGCCAAGGAAATATGGAAGTCCAAGGTAAGTGAAACAGTTTTGCCTTACCTAACAATTCTCTGGGTGGGGCTGTTCTGCTGGATCCATTGCATGGAATGTTCTGATGTGGAGCAGATGAGGTGGTGTTTACCCACAACTCCGGTGACGAATAGTTGAAAGAAGATTGGTTATTATGGTCCTGATGCTCTTTACACTGAGCAAGACTGTCTTGAGTATTTAACTCTTCAGAACAAGGCGGTACTGAACTAGATGAAATTCTTCTTTGGTACAATGGCCTGCCTGGTCCTCGTGGTTCATACTGCATGAAGAAGGACGTTTTATAAATTAATACAATGCATTTCCCTCATTTTTTTTCTTTTAAGTTCACTACTTTCTTTTCAGCACACAACAATTTTTCTATATGGTGTGTCCCAAAAATCTCAGTGAATTTTTGGGATATCCTGAATTAGGAAGCAATTCTTTAAGAACATTCTTTTTCAATACTCTTTTTTCAGGAACACACAAAATCAAAGGCAAAATCAAAGGCACTGTCATAAAATGAAAAGAACGCTTAGCTATCAAAATACATGGGTTCAATTACAGGTTCTAACTTTGTTACCTTTTGTGATCTTGGTCACATTATTTAACTTTTGGGACCATAGTTTCCTCACCTACAAAATGAGGGGGCTGGATGTGTGAGGTTCTCTAAGACTTCTTCTAGCTCTAAAAATCTTACGATTCTATGTAAAACCAAAGAGTGAAACAATAAAGGAACACACCTGCTTGTTTCTCCTGGAGACATTTCAACTCAATATGCCCAATCAGTTGTTAAATCTTGTTGATTCTATCTCAATAAAAACTCACTGATAGATCACTTTCTGTCCATTCACATGGCCACTGTCTTAGTTCAGGCTCTCATCATCTCCAGCTTTACCTCCCTGTCAACTCTTAACTGGTTTTCCAGCCTCAAGTCTCTCCCTCTCCCTCTAATCCAACACAATTGCCAGTATGATATTCCTAATTGACCAGGTCACTCCCCTCCTCAGTAGTTTCAATGGAAATCTTTTTCATGAGACATCTGTAAAGCTCTTACAAACCTTAAAAGTGCTATATAAGTGCTAAGTACTATAAATACTAAATACTACCACTACCACTATTAGAAATCACAGGCCTGGTCCAAAAATGACAAATAAATATGCCACCTTGAACAACTCCCTGATTTCATCTTGCTTTATAATGACACTTTCCTCCAAAGTCTTCATTCTTCTTGACAACTAAACTCACTTAATTTAGTATAATTTAAAATTAGCTATTTTTAATTCCTTTGTCCAGGTCATTATTAAAATTATTGAACTTCATGAAATAGCCTGATCCAACTCAAAAATAATCACGAAATGATCAAGCACTAGGAAATTTGTGACATAATGTATAATATACTATATATATATATATACACACATACATATGTATATATGTGAACACATTAAATATACACATATAAAGAAAGACATACACATATATACACATTTTACCAAAAGCTTTTCAAAATAAACCATTAAGTCCTAACATAAAAATGAAGTTTTCCTTTTTATCATCAATATTTTAAAAATCCACCAGGTGCTAGGCTATCATTGCCCACTAGGGATTCATATTATAAAATCTACCTATGGATTCCAGAAAACAAACATTCATCATTCTCTTACTGAGGGCAGATTATAAAAATAAAAAATTCAAAGAAATAATCAATAGAAAACACTCCAGGTAGTAGTGTCAACAAGCAAATACCAACTTTTTGTAGTTGCCAGTCAAATGTACCCACTTGTCTCAAGGCCTTTTATAGGCAGGAAATGTTACAAATCAAGACATGAAGGTTGGCATAAGAACAGGTAACAATACTAATCAACTATGGCATAAAAAAATCCAACACATCTTCTAAATTAAAAGAAAATATATTCAGACAACAGGGAATCTGGTGATATTTAACAGGTCCCATAGAAGATGGCCTCTAATAATGAAGATATTAATAAAGATAAGTGCTTCAATGAAGCATGAAATTTGATTTTAAAAAATGTCCTGTGAACGGCTTTCATCAATGTCTTTCAAGTTGTCGATGTCCTTGCTGCTGCTGTTTTTATATGAAATGCACAGTACTGGCTAATATGATGCTTTAAAGCAGGAGTTCTTAACCTTTTTCTGTGTCATGAACTTCTGATCAAGTCAAATCAAATCAAGAAGCATTTATTAAGCTCTTATTATGTACCACACACTGTGTTAAACACTGGGGATACAAAGAAAAGCAATATCTGATGAAACCTATGAACCCCTTCTCAGAACAATGTTTCTCAATGCAAAAAAAAAAAAAATTAATGCACTCATGGACCCCAGGCTAAGAATCCTTGCTTTAAAGTTTCAGTAACTGGATAGATATGACATTGAAGGTTAGCAAAAGAAGTCAGAGTTAAGAGTACAGCTTAGCTGATGTAAGAGGCATGAAGAAAGGCATCTTTTGGGGAAATAACCTTTCCTGAGAGTAATTTCAGTAGAGGCGCTGCATTATGACAGTCTAGTAAGCATATTTTCATCACCTCTCCAGTGATAAAAATTTCATCACCTCTCCACTGTGATAGCCTCCTAATTGTTTTCCCTGCTTCCAGTCTTTCACCTTTCCAATCCACACAGATGTATTCTTAAAATACAAGTCTGACTATGTCCCTCCCCTTCTCAAGGAGCTCCAGTGTCCCTGAGATAAAACATGATCTCATTTATTTAGTAAAAGCCCTTCATAGTGTGACTCCTGCTTGCTTCTCCTCTCCCTCACTCATTCTACCTTCCGGTCAAACAGGCTTACTTCCTGTTTTCCCCTTACATGACATTTCATTTCCCTTTTCTATTGTCTCTCTTTAATTTCATCTCTCAGTATCAATAGCATCCTTCAAGAACCAACCTAAGAGATACATCCTACATGAGATCTTCTCACTGGAAATTACATTGTATCTACTTTGTATATATCTTGTATTTACCTACTTAAGTACAGGCTGTTTTCCCCAAATGAAATGTAAGCTCAGTGAAGAAAGGGTCTATTTCTGTGTTTTTTTATCCCTAGCACATAGTAGACACATAATAAATGCATGTTGAAGATAAGGTCAAAATGGGTACATGATTTAGACATAAGGGATGATATCATAAGCAAATTAGGAGAGTAAGGAATAGTTTACCTGTCAGATCTATGGAGAAGGGAAGAATTTATGACCAAACAAGAGCTAGAGAACACTATGAAATACAAAATGGATAATTTTGATTACATTAAGTTTTAAAGTTTTGCATAAACAAAACCAATGCAACCAAGATTAGGAGGAAAACAGAAAGCTGGGAAACAATTTTTACAGCCAGTATTTCTGATAAAGGCCTCATTTTTAAAATATATAGAGAACTGAATCAAATTAATAAGAACATAAGTAATTTCCCCAAGTGATAAATGGTCAAAGGATATGAAAAGGCAGTTTACAGAGGAAGAAATTAAAGCTATCTATAATCACACAAAAAAATGCTCTAAATCACTATTAATGACAGAAATGCAAATTAAAACAACTCTGAGGTACCACCTCATACCTATCAGATTGGCTAATTTGCAGAAAAGGAAAATAATAAATGTTGGAAAAGTTGCAGGAAAATTGGAACATTAATGCATTGTTGATGAGTTGTGAACTGATCCAACTATTCTAGAAAACAATTTGGAACTACGCCCAAAGGGCAATCAAACTGTGCATTCGCTTTGATCCAGCAATACCACTACTAGGTCTATATCCCAAAGAGATCACAAAAAAGGGAAAAGGACCCTTATGTACAAAAATATTTATAGCCGCTCTTTTTGTGGTGGCAAAGAATTAGAAATTGAAGAGATGCCCATCATTGGGATAATGGCTGAACAAGTTGTGGTATATGAATGTAAGAGAATGCTATTGCACTTTAAGAAATGATGCGCGAGCTGATTTCAGAAAAACATGGAAAGACTTACATGAATTGATGCTAAGTGAAATGAGCAAAACCAGGAGAACATTGTACACATCAACACTGAGCAACAATTAACTATAAAAGACTTAGCTCTTCTCAGCAACACAATGGTCCAAGACAATTCCAAAAGACTTATGATGGAAAATGCTAACCACATCCAGAGAAAGAATTATGGAGTCTGAATGCAGATTGAAGCATACCATTTTCACCTTTTTTTTTGTTTTTCCTTTCCTGTGGTTTTTCCCTTTTGTTCTGACTCTTCTTCCATAACATGACTAATGTGGAAATATGTTTAGCATGATTGTATGACCTGTATCAGATTGCTTGCTGTCTTAAGAAAGGACAAGGGGAAGGAGGAAGTATGAAGGGAAGGTGCAAGGGAGAAAAATTTGGAACTCAAAATTTTACAAAGGCAAATGTTGAAAATTATCTTTACATGTAACTGGAAAAAATAAATAAATGCTTGTTGAATGAATACAAAGTAATAAGTTACATTTACATAGTTTCCTTCTCATAATTAGCTTAATACTTCATATTCATTTTTTTTAATTCATGGAATCACAGGCCCATAGATATAGAGAGAACTGGAATCCTCAGAGCATACTGATGAAGCATATCCAGAGTAAGTACTGTATCCTTTCTCCATTATTTCAAGTATCTGTGCCATACTTCCTGTTTTTTGTTTTTGTTTTTGTTTTTAGGAAGAAATATTCTCTGTACAAGATTCAAAGTTCTTTCAACTTTAAAATGCGTATTTTAAACATTTTATGTAGTGCTGTAACTATTACCAGAACTCTGATATTAATTAAGGTGTATCAAATATGCCCATCAATTAATAAAAATAATTCATGAGCAGAACCAGGAGAACGTTGTACACAATAACAGCCATGTTGTGCGATGACTAATATTGATAAACTTAACCCTTCTCAGCAGTACAAGGATCTAGGACATCTCCAAAGGCCTCGTGATGAAAAATGCTATCCACAAAGAAAAAAGAACTACGGGGTTTGAATGCAGATTGAAGCATACTATTTGCTATTTTTTTTTCTTCTGTTGAGTTTTGTTTCCTCTTTCTGGTGGTTCCTCCTACTGGTTCTAATTCTTACTTACAACATCACTAATGTGAAAAGATGTTTAATAGGAACGTATATGAATAGTCTATATCAGATTGCATCCTGTCTAGGGGAGGGAGGGGGAGAAAAACTTAAAACTCAAAAGCTTGTGGAAGTGATTGTTGCTAATTCAAAAATAAATTAATAAAAAAATAAAAAATAAAAATAATTCACAAATACCACGATAATTATTATC